CTAGCACAGTGTCTGGCACATGGGGGACCCTATTCAATGGTGATTGAAATGAATACAAGTGTGATAAAGAAAAGAGAGGTAGAAACTTGGGGGTGGGGCAGGAGATGAGAAACACCAAGAAGGTAGAATGAAAGGCAAAAGTTTTGCCAAGAAATTGACTTTTCTTCATAGAGGGTGCATTTTCTCAGCTAACAAGCAGTTGAAGTTACAATTTCTTTCTGTGTATGAAGAGCTCAGTTAAACTGTATTAGTACAGACTAGCAGACTAAATGAAAAATATATAATGGATTGGTCTTTTTGTTTTAAATTCCCTAAATTAGGTTTTAGAAGTCAAAGCAAGAAGAAAGTTTGAGCAGAGGGTTGCATATTTTGTACCGAGGGGTCCACATATTGACAGTCTGATTTCTTTGCCTCCATACAGAAGTTCTTATGACCCAGGTCCTGTGCCCTAGCTGACCTGTCATCCTGTTCCTTCATGGAAAAAGACACATAATCATCCTCTGCCCTTCCCAGCTCTCCAGCTGCCACTTCATGCCTTAACCCTTCTCAAGCTCTCTCCAGACACTTCTCAGTATTATGTTTCCTCTTCCAAGTAATGTGCTCTTAACATCCAGGTTTTGAAATTAGGAATGCGTGTCGTTTTTCACGTGAGCTAAAATTTCCCAACAAAATCCACTATATAATTACATCTGCTTTGTGAAAAAAGAAGGGCTAATGAATTGAAATCATCTTTCTAATGAAATAATAAGTCAAAATTCACACACATACACAATCATATTTTGATTTGCTGAGGTCATTACCAACTCTGGTCCAAAAATCTTCCTGCTTGCTCTTTAACTTTGTGGTTTTATTTTTTTCAGATGAATGAAACAATGGAAGAGCTGATTTACCTGTGAAGGAAGGCTGGTCCTTAACCATTTAAGCAAGAAGAAGCAGAACTCTTTCTGCAAGGGGAACTAACACACAGCAAAGAATTTCTCATTCCGAAGTTCTAACAGCATCATACTCCAGCATTTCTTCCTCACCGATGTCGGTGATGCTGAAATTTTCCCTGTCAGTTAATTTGACGTGTTAAAGTTAAATAAATATGATGTTGCTCAAATGGTGTCCTGACATCAGAGGGAATATTAATGCCTTTAATTAGCTTCAAGAGAGGGGTAAACCTCAGGCAGTTACTCTAATGAGAACGTCAGACCTCTAGTTTTGTGTGAATGAAAGCAACTGAATTTGTTTTGCTTCTTTTGGCATTCCCAGCTATCAGCTGTGTTATCTGACAGTAAAGTATCCTTCCTTCTTTGGTGAGGGAGGATAGGAAAAGGAGGGGGGGGGCAAAAGAGGAAGAGGAGGAAGAGGCAGGAGGAGGGGGAGAGTGTAAAGAGTAAGTAGTTAATACCTTTTAATGGGAACCTGGTGAGGAAGACGGGGCATGTGTGACAGTGACATCTGACCAGTCCACATATTGCTGGCAATGAGCTCAGAGCTCTGAAAAACAGCCACTGATGTGAAAAATAGGCATACTGTTGTGAGGATGTACTACTCTTTCCACCTGTACAGGAGAGGGACTTGGGGGCCATTTCTTCTGCAGAGGATATACAAAGAATCTGGAATAAGCCCCAAGGGTGCAGGGGCTGAGGGGGAGGGGAGAATAGGAATCACCTCCAATCCGGCAATAGGGACCACGACAGAATGACAGCTTGTAAAATAAGCCTCCATCAGTCTCCCAGGAGACAGCCGGCCTCAACTTGGGTGTTCCCCGCTTGTTGGCCTCAATCATAATTGGTCTCTCCTCCCATCCCACGTTGTTGGTTTTCTGTGTGTGGCTTTTGGTGTGAGCGTGTTAGGTCATCAACAAATACAATGGCGGGAGGGGGTGAGGGGGGACACACATGATTGTTTTAAAGAAGAAAGGAGAAAAAGGATAAGAGAGTGGGCAGGAAGGCTGTGAACAGAATGGGGAAGATGCCCCAGGATTTAGGCTTCCGAGGCAACCCCTGGAGCGCTCCGGGGTAGGGCGCTCCCTGGGAGTTTTGTCAAAGGGAGAAGCCAAGCCCGCCTGGAGGTGGGGACCCTGCTGAGCTCCCCTGGGGACGCGCATCTATTCTGTGCAATTTGTGTTTGCTTGTCTCTGGAGGTGCCTGCAACATCCTGCCCATATCCGGTGAATTTCATCAAAAAGGAATTTTTCAAAAAAATCCCAATCTTTGTGGAATGCCCTAGAAAGGCTATGGGTCTGAAGTCAAAGGCCTAAAGTGGAGCCAGGGTCCTCTGGGGGCCACCAGGCACACAGGCGTGTTCCAGTCACCCTTTCTCCATCTCTCTATATTTTTAAAAAAGGTTTTTCTCAGTGTCTTCATGATCTCCACCCACCCCCCCATCCCTCATGTCTTCTATTCTCCTCTTCTCAGAGGCAAACCCGGGGGTAGAGGTTATGAGAAATTTGTGATCTGAACTCTGTAAAGCTGAGAGTGTGCAGATACAGCATACTGTTTTTGCTCCAAGGAGGCACTGTAAGGTTCTGAGACCTTGAGAATTTATTTACTGTAAGAAGAACCTTTGATGGGGGGGTTGGGGGTAGGGAGCAACAGAAATGTAATTAAATCAAGTCGCAAACTTTGGGAAAGTTTTCTCTTGTGTTTTCGTTTTTGTCTTAATTCCACTCCACCACCCCTTGGTTGGCCTGGGTCGCCACGGCACTGTGCCCAAGGCTGGTCTCCACAGCGTCCCTGACCCAGCAAAGGCATTTGGGGTCTGAAATCGTGCTCTTGTGCTAAGACAGGGACAGCAAATTGGGGATTGGTGCCTCTAAGACGTGCGAGTCGGGCGCCTCTTCCGGGTGGCAGGACTTGGTGCCTACAAGTCCATAGGCATCAGCGGGCACCCACTGTTCTGCAAAGTCAGGCCCATGTTGGCGGGGGGGGGGGGGGGGGGGGGGACTCCAAGAATGTCCTATGGCCTCTTGCAGGGTGAAGATGCCCTACTGGCTGAAAAGGTCCTGCCGCTTTCTCCGGAGGGCTCTGGTTTATACATCCCAGAAGACCTGTCCCAGCGCACCCCGCCTTCAAAGCCGCAGCCAGTGCTTCCAGTCCCCTGATGTTTAGAAGGACGCGCTATAAAACTAGTTACCCCGAGGTACCTCCAGGAACCTTCTTGAGCAAACACCTGCCCTGTGCCCTATTAAGCTTCATCTTTCGCTTCTCCTCGCCCCACCCCCACATTAAAAGTCCCCTAAAGCACTGAGGACCGGCTTTTCTCTATAAAGCCGGGAGAAGGCTGGCGATAAAGATCAGGCGTTTAAATTGACCATTTGGAAGATTACATCTCTTCAGCTAAGGTCTTTCTTTCAAAACTCGCACTGAATTGAGAGCCGCGGCTACTCCGCACCCGGCTCTTCGAGGCCCCTCACTTTTTCATTCGGCCATGAGTGGGCTGGGCTGGGTGACCCGGCGCCATCAAAGGCCTGGGGGGCCGTGGGGCGACACTCGTCTAATGACAAGTAATTGATGGATTCGAGGCCACGCATTACCAGCGGAACGGGGAGATATTAATTATTTAAAAGCGATTAGCCTAGCCGTGTGTCCTGCAGGCGTTCTATCTTGTTAAGGGAAGATAACCCGCCGCCAGTCGGAACCGCGGCTAGAAGGGCGGCGGGTGCGCTCCCCAGGCGGCCTCGGTGCGTTGGCGAAGGTGCGCGGCCCGGGACGCCACCGAAGGCGGCGGGGCGCGGGGGTGGCGGGACGGAGGGCGCATGGTCCCCACGCAGAGGGGCCCACATCACCGGCCCTGCCAGTCACGGGGACCGATTTCGACTTCTGCCCTCTGGGGCCCGGGATCTGGTGACCGCGGGGCTGACGGGAAGGGCGCTTGTCTCCCCGCCTGGCGAAATACTTAGAAGTCAGCGCGGGCTTCAAACAAGGCCGGTGTCTAGCCCTTTAAAGTAAACACTCCAGGCGAATGCTAATTTCAGGGGATACCTGAAGATCCCAGAAGAAAGACACCTTCTCAGTACCCTATACTCTGGCCTCGAAACCCGAGGGTCCTGCAGTTTCAACTGGCAGCTTTGGAACTTTTAGTTTTCCAAGCTGGTGCCTTCCTACAGGCGGAAGAAAGATGCGATTTGTTCTGTGCGGTCCTCCAAATTCCCGTCCTCCCGCACCGCAGCGCGCCCCTGCCCGGAGCCAGCTTCTGGGAGAACGAGGATAAATTGCCCGGTGGCGTGTTTCTGTCTCCACCCTCCCCAGGCTGGGCCCCTTTGTAACTCGCGAAGCTCCCCCCTAAACCGTCTGCAGCCTTGAGCGTCTGTGCGTAAATGGCACTAGCCGCTTCTTGCAAGAACGAAAGTGTACTCCTTTCTCGGGAAGGCCATATCCCGCTCCTGTTGCTTCGAGGCGTCGACCCCAAAGCTGCCCGGCCTGTGGGATTCTAGGGAAACGCCTAGACCAGATTAGAACCCCTGCGCGCCAGGGGTGGCGGGGAGGGCTTCGCCACTCTCGGGCCCCCGCTGATGCAGCCACCGGCTACCAGCACGCGGTTTTCGGCTGCCTCCACCCCAGACTCTTGGGCCAAGGGCGTTCCCCCATCCCCTACCCCTGCACTGTCCTTGGGAAACGCGCAGCCATCGGATCGAATCCCCATCCCGGAGTAGCTGCAGGAGCCTGTAGTGGCTTCCCGTAGCTTCGGCCCCCCCAACCAAACTCTATGTGGTCAGAGCCCAGATTGAGTCTGTTTGCAACTCTTCGCTCCCGTCGTCCACCCACACCGTGTAGTCTCAGAAATCTCCGCAAAAAAAAAAAAAAAAAAAAAAAAAAAAAAGCCACCTTCCAAACCTCACGGTCTTAACAGACTTAGCTTCTCACTCCCTACCTCCCCACCCCCAACCCCTAGCGTCTGGGCCCTTGGAAAGGAAAAGGACTGTCTGGGGGAGGGGAGGCGCGCGGAAGGGAATGGGGGGCGTACGCTGCCGGGGGGACCCGGGCGCGGCCCCCAATGGGCACGCTCCCTACCTGTGTTGCGGAGGGCTGACCGGCGGCAGAGCGTCCAGCGCTCGGAGGGAGGTGGCCGACTGCTCCCAGCCGAGGCATCTCCGCATTTATTTGAGCTCAAACCGAGCGACTGTTGACTTTAGCACACAAAGCAAAGATTTCACTGCCCGCTAGTTTAAAAATGAATATTTTACCAAGATATCGATCAGCGTTATAAAATTCAGTTAAGTACAATGGGATCCTAGCAAAAAAAAAAAAAAAAGAATAATAAAGGAGGGGGAGGCAATATAATATCTGTGCAAATTTGCTGAAGTGTGACGTGGCATGGAAAGTTTACCCTCCTGGAATTCGGATCTAGAATGTTTTTTTCGGTTGTTTACTGACTTTGTTTATTCACAGATCACGGTTGCTTAAACCGGCGCGCGGATGGCGCGCGGAAAAGGAAGAAAAAGAGCGAGAGGGAGGAAAAAAGAAACGCCGCGCCCTACTATACTTAGAGTTGGGGAAAGCGGGCGGAGGACGCTCTGTGAGCTAGGGAGCCTGGAGCCGGGCTGGGGGAGGGGTCTGAGGCGGGGTGGGGTGTGTGTGAAAGACACAAGAAGCGCAGAAAAGCCTCCGAAAGCGCCTCGATCCCCGACATCCTTTTTATGTATTCGGACAGAACTATATCTTATCTGCCGGGATCAGTGGAGGGGGGAGCGCTAAGTAGTTTAAAACGACCCTCGCACAATGGGCGTGCGATACGAAACATAGCAGGTTAGGGCAGCGCTTTCAGCCTCCATTGTCCCCCACTCGGCCCCCGGCCCTGCCTCTCGGCTCCTTCGCCACGGGAGCCTTTTATGTGATAATGAAACACATTTCAGGCCGAGCTCACGACGTGTGTGTCCTTGCCAGGGGGAGAGACGGGCCTGATTGCTGGCTGCGGCCTCCGGATCCCCCCCACCCCGCCCCAATTTCTCTTCCTTGTGTTTCTCGGGACAATGTGGCATGTTAAAAAGGGATTTGGAGGCGGGAGGAGGGGTGGGCGGGAGCGAAGGGAGGGCAAACCCACCTCAAGTGCGTGGGAAGGCCAGAGTTTGAGGGAACAGAGACCCTGCAAGGTGGCAGAGGGCGAAGTGAGGTGGGGGGGAAGGTCCTCAGGGTTGGGGCGAACCTGGTACATTCTACGTTTGGGTGGTCAACAAAACTCTAGTCCCTGAAAACAAGGCCCTGGGCTGTAAAACTTTGAGACAAAATGTCCCGACTTCAGAAGTCCATGGAGAGTAACCACCCACCCACCCACACACCGTAAGCTAGCTGTGCATGGATGACATATCCCTAAGTCTGCGGTGACACTGGATCCAGCCTTCACCCAGCCAGCTTGTAGGCCAGCACATCCCCCAGGCAAAGCCAGAGCTGGTTCCCTTTGAGCGCCTAGGCTGAATGTGGCCTGTGGGGTTTCCACTTCCTTTGGCTGCCTATTTAGGATCTTCTGTGGGGAGATACAGCGAGATTTGTAAGAATTTATTCTGGGTCTTTCTTTATACTTTTGGATTTTCTTTTAAGGCTCACAAAACACCTCCTCATCCCCTTGGCCCTATAATCCTGGCTTGCCAACCTGGGCTAACTGGACGCTGTCCAAAGGCATGGGTGTTTGGGGAGAAGGAGGAGTAAGCACATTTGCAGACCCTGGGATCTTAACACTGGTCAGGATCATTTGACAACTGGCTCAAGACATCCCCCCCTCTTACCTGAGATTCATCCCCCAAAATGCCTTATTTTAAAAAGGAGATTTGGACCATCATCCAGGATGATCCCTGTAAACACCAGTACCAGGAGAAAGTCTGTTTCTCCAGATCAGGTGCTAGAAAAGGTGATCTCAGAAGCCTTACTGCTCTCATGCTACAGCTAAGTCTACCAAGGCTATACAGAACACCTAAGTAAAGGAGGATGGTGGGATAAGGTGTGTAGACAGAGGCCTGAGGCTGTAGGACTCAGGCAGAGCTCCAATTCCACAGGAGGGTAAAAGGGGTGCCAGAGACACAGAAATTAAAGGGCTGAGCCCGGAATTTGCAAATCCAATTGGGGTTCACAGATTTGAAGGGAGGCCTAAGACTGGAAATAAAGTAAAAACACATAAAATCTAGGCTTCTCCTCAGAGAAGTCAGCTCCCTGGGGCCCAAGAGACGTCAACACTGCATCTTCACATGGCCCAGGTGGGATATTAAGATACGCAGTTTTCTCCTTACTTTAAAGGTAAACCTGTATCAAACACAAGGAATGGTCCACCTGAGGTCTGTGTGTTTCATTGTGTGTAAAGATAAACTCAAAATTCCAAAAGTAATCATAAACAATATTGAATTCTATTTCCTGATGTGCTTAATGAAGTGTTTAGGGGTAAGTGTACTGGTGTCTGAAATTTACTTTGAAATACATCTAGGTCTATGGCAATACCACCCTGAATAGTGTCTGATCTCCTCTGAAATGCATTTAGAAAAAATAACCTGAATGGACTAATGGAGCTGTAGATACATGAACAAATATGTGATATAACAAGTACAGCAAGACAATAGGATCTGGGCAATGGGTACGTGTGTGTTTTCTGTAAAATCTGTCCAACTTCAGTATGTCTGAAAGTTTTAATAATAAAATGTTGTTAACAACCACCATGGTCCCTCCCCTTCACCAAAATAAAATGAAGCCTGCAAGCCTGTCAGGATCTCTTTCCCCCCACTTTTAAATCATTTCTGGACCTGTTTATTTTTTAAGTCGGGCAAAGGGAAAAAAAATCTTGAAGATTCAAGGGGTAAAACTGGCAATAACACTTTAATATAGATTTGTGGAACTCTGGCCCTTCCAGCCAGAACACACATTTATAAGCCATAAATAAAACACGCAGAAACCATAAATTAATCAGACCCGAGACCTGGATTTCACCGTGTCAAGAATGGGAATGCATTTTTTTTTCTTTTTCTTGGTCATTTACAACAGACCCTTACATCATTTTTTTTCTTTTTGAACAATAATACAACTCTGCTTCTCTGTTAAAACTACATGGTTTTACACTGAGTCACTCACAAAAGTTTGTGGGGTTTTTTGTTTTTGTTTTGTTTTTTAATAAAGTAAGACTTCCCTGCAACAGCATCAATAGAGGAAAAAGACAACAAAAAATCAGAACTCGCAAATGCTTAAAGAAGCAGGCGTCTACACAGTAGTGGAAACCAGAGGCTCTTTTCACTTTTCTTCCTCTTTTTTCCCCCTCATTTTTGACTGTTCATCTTTTTGCCTTCCCTCCTTATACAGAATAATAGATATCAGTGTGGCCCATGTGTTTGGGAGGGAAAAGCTGCAGAAGGTGAGGGGAGACTGCTGTCCTGGGGTGGGGAGTAATGATTTCTTCTCCCTCTGGCTCTCTCCAACACCCTTCCTCAAATTCTCCCCACTTGCTCTCTCTCTTGTTTCTCTGTCCCCGGCTATCCGGCTGCAGCCGCCTTCTTAAGAAGAGTTCATTATGGGCCTGGAGTACACCCCCTGGTAGTAGGAGGTGTCTGCGGCCAGGGGCGAGGCATCCAGGCCCGTTTTGTTCGTGACCGGACCCATAGCCAGGCTACCCGGCATAGGGGAACCGTAGCCAGGGTAGTGCATCACCTGTTCGTAGGCCTTGAGGTCCATTTTGTGGGGCTGGTGGTGATGGTGGCTGTGGTGGTGCTGCTGCTCCGAGGACATGAGGTTGTTGATGGAGAAGGGGTGATTGAAGGCGTAGTGGTGCTCCGGCTTAAGGTGGGCTTCGGGCGGCAGGCCAGGGTGATGGGGAGGGCCCAGCAGGTGGGCCGCCGCCTGCTGCTGCTGCCCAGGCGAGGGCGTCGGCTCTGGGGGGCTCAGGGCCGAAGCCGGTGTCCCCTTCAGCTCCCCCAGGGGCCCTCGCTTGTGCTCCTGGCACGGAGAGGCGCTCGAGTGAGGCGACTCGGTGCCCGCCGGAGTCTCGGAGGCCGGCCCGGCGACCTCCCCGAGCTGACCCTGCGAGGCCTGGGCTCCGGCGGCCGCCTTCTTGCCGCCTCCCGTGGCTCCTGAGGCTTCCTTCAGGGCCAGCTGCTTCTCGCACTTGAAGCGCTTCTGGCGGCGCAGGTAGCAGCCGTTCTCGAACATGTTGCCCGAGTCGGGGTGCAGGGTCCAGAAGGAGCCCTTGCCGGGCTTGTCGGGCGAGCGGGGCACCTTGAGGAAGCAGTCGTTGAAGGACAGCGAGTGACGGATGGAGTTCTGCCAGCGCTGCTGGTTCTGCCGGTAGAAGGGGAAGAGGTCCATGATCCACTGGTAGATCTCGCTCAGCGTCAGCATCTTGTTGGGGCTCTGCTGGATGGCCATGGTGATGAGCGAGATGTAGGAGTAGGGCGGCTTGGCGTGCGTGTAGCTGCGCCGGTACGTCTTGGGGTCGCGCGCGCGGCTCAGGCCCGCCTGCCCGTACATGGGGCTCATGGAGTTCATTTTGGCATAGGGGGTCAGGCCGCCCATGGCCCCGGCCGCCTGCCCCCCGAGCGGGCTCAGGCTGGGACTTAGGTGCGGCCCCATGCCCGCCACGCCGGCCGCCCCGGCCGAGCCGCCCATGCTAGCCATGGCGCCCGCCCCGGGGGACATGCCGGCCAGGGACGGGCTCATGCCCGCGCCGACGTACGACGACATGTTCATGGAGCCGGCGCTCATGTTGCCCGAGCCGCTGCCCATGGCGGCCGCGGACATGCTCATGTACGTGTTCATGCCGTTCATCCCCAAGCCGGCGTTCATGTTGCTCACGGAGGAGTAGCCCTGCGGACAGAGCCGGGGGCGGGAGGCGCACAGTGTTAGCACCGCGGCTTGAGCGTGCCCTGACCTCCCACCCACCGGGCCAAGCCAGGCCCCCGCCTCCAGGGAGGCCTCTGGGGAGTCCTTCCCTAGCCTGGCCCCGGCCCCGAACACCGAGTGCTTTCCCCCGAGAAGGTGGCAAGCCGGCTGCTGCTGTTTGCGTATGGCCAGACCCTCGCCCTTCTGCGCCCCGCTCAGATTCTAAAGCAGGGGTCCTTCGGAGCACCAATAGGGCAGGCACCCCAAATGCATCTCCTCTCCCCAACTCTCCGGCCAGCTCAACGAATTGGCGCCGCGGCCTCGGACGCCACCCCCGACCCTAGCGAACAACCTGTGGGGCACAGCACAGGACGCCCCAGCGGCCGCGAGCGGAGATTGTCCCGGGGTTCGTCCTTCCTCCCAGGACCCCATCCTTGGCCTCAGGGGAACCGAAACCCAGTGCCTGCGGCCAGATGGAGGCACTGAGAGGGGGGACAGGGAGGAGACTGAGAACTGAACCACACGCGGCTAGGCTTAGCAGCCACAAACTTTCGTTCTCTTTGTCCCTAGTCTTTGAATCTGCCTCTACCTCAGCCCCCAACTCCTACCCACCTTCTCCTCCTCAGCTCCCCACCCCCTCGCCGGCCGACCTCCCACCCCTCCCCAGCCGCGCGCTGCCAAACATAACTCTGTTAGGATAGTGCGTGGCTCGGCCACGAAGAGGATTTGGAGGCGCCGCAAGTCAATATTTGATCACAAAGTTAATATTATCTCAAGGCTAACAGTGTGTTGTATAAAAAAGAGACCCATTTGAGTCGAAGGAGGGAGGAAAAGGCGGCTGCCCGGAGCGGCTGGGGTGGGGGGCGGGTGCCCGCGCGGGAAGCGGTCCTGAGGCTGGGGAACAGATAGAACTCCGCCACCCCACTTCCCCCTGGAAAAGGCGAGTGCCTACCTCCGGCTCGGCATAGTAGCTGCTCCAGTCGGACGGCTCGTGCCCTTCCATCTTCACCGCTCCCAGCATACTGGAAGCCGAGTGCATGGCAGTTTAAAATTTAACAGCCACAACAAACGACCAGCAATCACCCCCCACCCCCACTCTCTTTAAAAAAAAAAAAAGCCAAGGCACCGTCCCCTCCCTCCCTCTCTCGCGCTCCCTCTCCGGCTCCACTCCCTCTCTTTTCCTTGGCCGGCCGGAGGCGGTAGTTAGAACGGGCGGGAGGGGTGAGCCTCAGGAGGAGGGGGCCACGGATGGGAGGAGGCCCGGACCTAAGCCCCGCTGCAGGGAGCGCCTGCCGCCTGCCGCCCGCCGCCGCCGCGCTCGCGGGCTGCCGGGCGGAGGCCGAGGTTGGCAGTGCCGAGCTGCCCGGAGGCGGCGGGAAGCGCGCGGCGCAGGGGCGAGGTGGGGGGGGGGGGGGAGAGAGGGAGGAGGAGGAGAAGGAGGAGGAGGAGAGGAGGAGGAGGAGGAGGAGGAAGAGGAGGAGGACGAGGAGGAGGAGGAGGAGGAGGTGTGGACCGCGGAGCGGACAAGTGCCGCAGTGACGTGGGCAGCTGGTGATATAGCGCGGCGCGCGGGCGCGGGCCTCCAATCCCCAGACCCCGGGCAGCCTATTTGAATAATCAGCTCACACCTAGGTGAGAGGGAGACTCCGCCGGCGCCGGGCACCTGCCCCTCGGCGCCCGGCGCCCGCCCCGCTGCAGCCGCGCCCCGCACCGGGTACCGGGCCTGGCGCAAGGGCGAGTGCGAGCGCAGGCTCTCCGCTCCAGACCCCTTTCCCCCCGCGCCCTCGGGGACTGCCCGCAGGAGGAGGGACCTGGGAGGAAGCCACCCGGGAGCCGCCCAAGGCTCTGGCCCGCGCCCGGTCCCACAGAGCCCCACTCCTGTTGCGCCTGTCGGAGGGCGCGCCCGACCGCCGCGCCCCGTCGCCCCTCTGCAAAGCCTTAGAAATGCCGCATTTACTCATCTCGGGTTTCTTCTATCTCAGTGCTCATTCCCTGTCAAAACGACAAGACGGTGACAGAGCCAATTTGCAAAGCGCTGTCGTATTTAGAAAAACTGTGTACACACCTTGAACTCGCCCGCCGCTGCTCCTGGGAGGCCCCTCCCTGTTACAGTTAAGACCTCGAGCGGCTCCGGGAGGCGCTCGGGGTGCGCCTGGTCTGCCCGCCGCGGCTTTGGCCTCCGCGGAGCCCGGCCTCCGGTGACCGGCGGGGGGGCGACTGGCGGGCGAGAGCACTGCCGGATCGCCGAGCTCAGGGCGCACGCGGCCCCGCCAGCTTCAGTCGACGGTTGGGAGACTATTTGTCTCTGACATTCAGGACGCGTGTTTCAAGGTTACTTTGCAGTCACAACCGAGGTGCCCACAGCATTTCGTAACTAAAACAAACAGGGCAGGCGGTGGGGGTTGAGGCGGGAGGAGAGAAGGGAATAAAGGAATCAATAATCGGACACATGGAATTTACTTCAGGAGGTTCTCTGTTTTCTCTGCTTTCTTCAAGGTTTGTTTTTATAAGAATTAGACGCTTCTAAACCATATAATTGCTTTTTATTTTTGCTCCGGCTTCTGGGTTCAGGTTATCATCCGTCCTGGGCCAGCCACCAACACCCCAGTGAGCCCAGACTGCAGGTGTGGAGTATGCAGGTGTCTGATGTGGACTTCTTTTCTTGGTTCTGAAAACAGGCTGGGCCATGAGGATCCAGCTCTGTGTCCCCCACCTCAGAGGTAAAGAACAAATAGGAAACAGTGGTTATCTGGCCTGTCTGTCCACAGTGATGGGTAATGGTGTCAGAAGACAGGGGGCAAGTGGCAGGCACAGAGCTGAGCACTGAGAACGGAAGGGGCTGGGTGGGCGTCAGGCTAGAAGGCCAGCAAAGAAAGACAGTTCGTGGAGGGAAGCCACTACCCCAGGTATTTCAGGCCTGCATCGCTTTGAAACAGATACAACCAACGGCAGCACCTTTTGCGCTGAACCGTGCAAATGGTTTTACCAATTTATAGTGAGGGGGTTAATGAACCCACCGATCGAGTGCAGGGCGGTGGGGTGGGGCAGGATACCACAGAGCTCTAGTCTGCCTCACTTAGAAAGCCCCCGCGCAGCGCTGAGGGATACCGGGAGGGGAAAGCTGACCCAGTGCACCCACATCAGGGCAGTGTGTCATGAGGTGTACGCACATTTAGTGTAGCTGTGCGGTGGGGAGCCAAAGCGACCAGATCTCCAGCATCTCTCACTGGGTCTCAGAGCATGAGGGAGCAATTTGACCGTTCTGCTCAAAGCTTGGGAAAGAGGGGTGCGCACTGGCGCTCAAAGGATACATTATTTGTTTTTTTTTTTTTTTTAAGCTTTCTGCATAGGTCCAGGGCAGAAATGCAGGTACACACACACACACACACACACACACACACACATGCACATCCCAAAACACACTGTCAACCCCATCCCCCACGGGGCGCTTCTCAAGTAGAAAAGTGACGCCCAGACAAACCTGCCAAACGACGACAAATAGAGAACTTTCTGGTGTGTATGATTGAACATTCTGGTTTACCTAATCTGTGCGTGTATGTGTTCCACTTCCCTTCTCTTTTTGCTACTGATCGAAAATATGGTTCTAGAAATTATTACACGAGCAAAAGGAGCGAGTGGCACGGGGAGAGGAAGTCCTCTGGAGGAAGCGGAGCTACCTTCCTAAAGCGCGGACCTTGCAAGTTCTTGCCACAGTTGGTGGTCGAGATCCCGGCTTACCCGGGAGCACTGGCACTGGCTTCCGCAGTGACAGGGCGCCCCCTATCGGCCGCGCGGTCCTCGGGCCCGACCCGAGCCCTCTTTTACCCCCGCGCTCCTAACCCGGAAACCCCGGCATCCGAGCGCCCGGGCACCTTTTCCCGGGCACCTTTTCCCGGCCTCTCCGACGCGGGGATGGCATTTCTTTGGAATCCTCGAGGTTCTGCACAAACCCAGACCTCCTCCTGCCGCCCCGGAGTCGCCGAGGGCTCGGGTGGGGTAGGAGCTGCGGGCCTGGCACCCTGCTTGCGCGCTGTGCCGCTCGGAGGAAGGCGAGGGCGGGCTGCGGTGCGCTGCAGGCAGCGCGGAGCCGGGCGCCGGCGTCTGCGAGGAAGCAGGAACCCTCACACGGCTTGGGGTTCGCTTTCCATTGCGGGCGCGGCGCGGAGGTCTTTGGACGCATCTCCCCTGCACACTCCTGTTCCTCCCCGGCAGCTTCGTTTTCTAAAGGTTTATTCAGAGCGTCTGCCACGAAAGCCTCAGACTGGAATGCTGTAAATTGCTCCAGGAGCTTCTCTCCAGGAAAAAGTTCGCGGGGAACCCGGGTTGAAAACAGATGTTTCCCCTAAGACCCCCTTAGGTTAAACCCCTAGGACTGAGACCTGCAAATCTTTCCTTTGCCTGTGTCCGCTCTTTCTTTTCGTTCGATGCTGCCCCGTTTCCGTATAAAGCCGCCTGATAATCGACGACTGTGTTTGGGGTTAGCACGCTGTTTTTATTCTGGATGCTGTCCCAGAGGATTTGACTGCGGCTCAAATCTGGGCCTCCGTTGCCCCTGCATTCCTCTAGCAAAACCCCCTTCACCCGGGAGCTCTCTCTGGAATATGAAACTAGCCTGTGGGGAAAGGATGTCAATGGACAGAGTTCAACTTCCCTAAGAAATAACCTGTAAAATAACAGGGGCAGAGGGTGAAGGGTGGCATTCGGCTCATTAAAAATTCAATTCCTGAAGTCCTTCACAGAATAAATGTCCAGGGCAGGCCTTGCTTTAGGGCATTATCAGGCAAATCTGCAGGTGAGATTAAGACAGAGGAGATGGAAAAGTGATTTAGGGAAGTCTTGTGGAAATACACGTTTTACGTTTAAGTAAGCTTTTGGGTTGGCAGGAATCAGGCGCGCACGGCGCGCACACCTCTCTGAATAATATTCAGAGTGGAACTTTCAGGGTCAGTCTCAGGTCTTCATAAAGAAAAGGCATAGAGTTGTGCCAAAGGTCACAATCATCATTTCACTTTCTCAGGGTGGGTTGTTACTTCTGAAATTTTACTTTAAAAAAAAAAAACCTGACAGTCAAAATTAGTCTATTTGGTACTGAACACACCCTCAGATACTCTTGCTGGCTTTCATAATTCTTTGATGGCCTAAACACTAGTTGTTTATGGAGAGGTCAATTGGAAAGGTAATTAGCTCAGAATAAATTATCTGGGGAGATTTATGTGGAAGACTGAAGAAAAGATTAAGCACCTTCCAGTCTTCTGAAAAAAACACAGAAACCAGCTAATAAAAGTGGACATAAAGCATTATACAACAGTATAGGTTTACTACACAGTCCACTTGGATACAATGTAATCTTGCTCTTGTGGGCAAGATTCACAGGAAAAGATGGGAAATAAGTAATAATAAATGATGATAAAATAAAATGAAATAAATGTGATGTGAATATGATGTCTCTGAGTGGTAGAACCTTACTTTCAATCTACATCTTTTCAGCAGTACAGTGTGTCATTTTATATCAATATTATATTATTATTAAATTGCTTTTTATTATTTTATGGTGAAATATGTAATAAGAATATTAGATCTGATATCATGGAAACTTTAGCAAACTAACTTACACATATTTATTTAATTTTCACACATGAAAGGAGATAAGTGAAGCCATCATTCAGATGGATCAACGGTTTGAATTCCGAAAAGCAAACTAATATTATTTTTTCTCACCTGTGTCAGAAAATGGACTGTGCTCTCCCTTGTATTGAGGAAGGGAGAGAAGTAATATTCATGCCAACCACAGATGGTGGCTTCCTAGCATGGAACAGAAGAAAGGAGACAGTCCTTGGGGTATTACTAGAATGAATTTGGCACTCAACTCTCTCTCTGTGCACATAGAATTTGATTGCTGTTTCGGGAGGTTGGTGTAGTTATGGATTGTTAGTCTTTTATGGGCTTTCTCAGTGGTTGGCTTGCATGGCTGTCAACTCACTTCCATCTGTGTGGGTCTGTGGAGAAGGCCAGTGCTTTGCCTTTTGGGTCCAGGGTTCG